TTTGATTCATCCATCTATCTTTTATAAATAAGATTATTTTTCAAGCTTTGTATTTAACTTGAATGTTTCTTTGTTGACAGAGCTTTTGAGAAAAGGCAAAGAGAAAGACAGGTAAATGGGCAATATTACAGTAACTGTTAAATTTTACATGGAAAAGATACAAGGGATTTTTTTTTTATCAGAATGAGTACTTAAAACCCAAGCAACCCAAAAATTATATATATATTAAAACCTCAGTAATCGAAATCATATTTTTCTCATAATTCCCATTATTTTGCTACTCATAATGTCCAAGTGAACAAGAATGATTTTTTTGTTCTTTTTCTTAAAAAAAGTGATTGTAATATTGTTGTTTTAAAGAATTTTTTCCTGTACAATCTTGGTTTTTAGATTGATATTGCTGACCATATATTGAAAGAGGAAAAACAGATGAAAAAACGATATCAACAGCAGCCGCAATTGTGGCCTGATAAACAAAGAGAAAGATCCAAGGTTGGTACAAACCAATAACTCAGGACATCAAAATTTGTAATGTTGGAAACTAGCGGTAAACTAGCTAGCGTGAGCTGCATCTGTGTTTCTAAAGGCTGGTTTACACGGTACGATTTGTCGCGCGCGACTTGTAATATACGATTTTCCTACTACAAGTCGTAGGATTTTAAGCAGTGGATCAAAAGCCTACTACAAGTCGTAGGTTGCGTACGACTGTTGTAGACAAGTCGTAGTTGCATTTACACTGCGCGATTCAAGTCGTATACTACAAGTCGCGCGCGACAAATCGTACCGTGTAAATCAGCCTTAAAGAAACAGTTGTATAAAAAGATAAATTTAACGCCGTTAAAAAGTAGGTGAAACGAATCCTTAGACGAAAGATTAACGTCCGTTAGTAAGTTGTTTTATTTACTTTTTTACGGTGTTAAATTCCTCTTTTTATACAACTGCAAATTTGTAATCATCGAGTTGAATGATAAAGTTGGATTTTATGGCATATTTTAAAGAAGGAATAAGTGTGTTCCACCTATAATTAACTATTTTGGTTGTTTACCAGAGAGCCACAAGGAG